TCCTTACTTCATGGTGGCCAACACCTGAGTTCAGGGAAACAGCAAGAGATCTACCCCCCAGAAACATGCACCCAATGACCCATCTCCAGCTAAGCTCCATCTCCTAACAGCACCTCTGCCTGTGCACACCAATGGATCAATCCACTGATAAGTACAGAGCTCCCACGATCCAATCAGCTATCCAGGAATGTCTTAATCCAATCAGGTTAATCAGTGCTACACCACTGAAACACACTTAAGCAAGGTTATGCACTGATCGTTTGACAAAATTATCAGACTAGTAGCTCACAGAAACCCCAATCCTGGGAGCAATGATTCAATATTTGCCAAAGTATCTGTGATGATTTTATGTAACATAACATGAATAACAAGAAATGGAGAGAAAATGCCAAAATGCACAATTTGCTTTTCATAATTTCCTTACCATAATTTTATTGCTTGCACTGATTCAAGAACCTAAAAGGAAACTAAGACATTCCCTAGTATAAGAAATAAATACAGTTTGGTTCTCCAAAATTAGTTATACAAAGTGTTTGTCTCTGAATGTCTAGAGAAAGAATGGCAAAGTTAGATTTCACATCCCATGAATTTCTTGGCTTCTCTGTGACTTCCGGCTTGGTGTGGATTTTGGAACAAGAAACAATGTTGGTAGATGTTGGTGAATGGACGTACCATGACTTCTCTGAGATAGTCCAGTTCTATAAATGCTAACCTGAGAAGCCTTGGATACCTCACTGAATACCAGGACCATGAGGTCACAGATGACTGTGTCTGGCAGTAACAATAGATCTTTGGAGGTTTCCGACCTGTGCTTCTCTCAGTTGGTCCAGGAGCTTTTAAGAGTCATGTAATGGGTCTTCATGGTAGGTTCATATTGGAGAAATTTCTCATTTGAATTTCCTCATCTACACCCCAGTGAGAGACTTAGTAAAGAATCTAACAAGTATGCTAGCTTTAACAAAAACCAGGTAATTCTTTATCTCTCTACAGGCTGCTGAAATCAGAATTGGTTAAAGTTCTTTCCATGAAGTTTATAATAAACAACTAAGACCAAGAAAAATTAAAATAAACATTATTTACCATTGAAAATTCAAATCAAGTAGTTTAAAAAGTGCACGGTTTGTTTTTCTTATCAGAAAAGGACATAATCCCTAAAGAATAATTAGGGCTTCCTAAATATAGCAAGTAGAAAACCACAGATATGTTAAATTATCAAGCTTAAAATCAACAAAACCCCCTGAGAGCAATACATATTTTTAATTAAATGTACTTATTTCTTTGGATCAAACAGAAACAGAATGTATTTCCTTAAAAACAAACTGTATTAGAGGAAATGAAAACCCAATTTAGGAGTCTGATTCAAATACAGAAAATGCAGATCCTCTGTTGAATACACTTCATTTTAGAAAAGACATCTAAATCTGTTATGAATATAAAAGAATTTTTTCATTCCTGTCTTGTAATCTGAGCAACTACCTTGAAGATAACCATATGCAATATATGAACCAGTGTTAATTTCCTATTATTTTATTTTGAAATTCTGTATTTCCTTTTTTTGTTGTTGTTGTTTAAAATAAAAGAATGAATGCAATTTTCATGGAGGGTTCATAGAAAGAGGCATTCCTACTTTAAAAGCCCACCATGTACCGCTGTTAGTTTGTTTAGCTCTGAAAACACATTTGTGAGGATCACACGCCAGTCCTGGGTTGAGGGCAGATTTGGGGTAAAAAGGACAATCTTGATATTGCTAGAGAAATCAGCATCTGACCCAGGAGTGGACATGGAGAAGTCAGAGGCCTTCCCCAAGGAGAGGGGCAGGAGGTCCAGGGCAGAGGGGCTGGTCAGGGACGGAAGTCAGCTCCTCAGGCTCTGGCTGCTGGAAGGTCTCCTCCCACTGGAGCCCTCTCTTAACTTCTCTGGTTCTCATCTTATTTCTTTGACCATCCTTTTAGTTCTTGTTCTTCAAATTGACATTCATACCTATTCTGAGCCTGTTTTCCTACCTTGATGTCTGACTGATACTTCTTGGTATCCTGGCAACACTGATGTTTTCAATGCATTGAAAACAGAAATGTGTCTGCTCCTCTCTGGGCCAGGCCATGACTTTACTTCCGCGTAACCGTGGTCATATTTCAGAGTTGACGGTCCTGTCTCTTCCTCTAGCCATCTCTCCTCTCTCACGGGAGCGCAAGGCTTCCGTCACTGCTTGCCAATAAGGTCTGCAGCCCCTCCGCCTGCCCCTCCCTCCACACCGCTTTAACCTCCTACCCAGGCCAGGATGCTGCACTAACACCTCATCCCACAACACCGTTCCCTGTTGGTTTCTAGCAGAAGATCCATTTCTGAAATTGGTCCTGAGTGTGTGGTGGAGGGGAGTACTTCTTTGCTGGACGGCCTTCAGTGCTTCCGGACTGGTCTTAGCACTGACCAGGCTCCAGGCTCTCTGGGGTAGCCTTAGTATTATCTCCCCCAAACACGGGACAGCGCAGCACAAGGGAAAGACGTGGACTTTGGAGTTAGACCCTGGTCCAGAGTCCAGCGCTGACTCTTAAGAGCTGTCAAGCCCCAGGTAGGTCATTTATGGCTTTGAACTGTTTCTAAGGACAGGTGGTGTTGCAGAGGTGACAGGAAGCACAGAGGTGACAGCGGCTGAAGCTTTTCACCGCGGTGCAAGGCTGTGCCCCATGGTTCAGGGACTCACACACGGGCTGAGCTCTTTCATGTGCTGGCCATGAAATGTGTCTGGTGGTCAAGGGCCAATGAGTTTTTTAAATGGAGAACTTATCAGTGTCAATGAGGCTGATTAATACAGAGTTTTCTGCTTCCTCTGGGGAATTTCCAGCAGATCCTGAAGGGACAGAGCCAGTCCCCCAGGGGTACACAGGTTTTTGAGGTGGAGCTTGTGCCATTAGCCCAGGATGAGGCCAGGTGTGCAGGCCCCTAGAATCAGCCCTAGAGCTTAGAAAGCAAATCCCTGACTCAAACACATGACGTCCACTGCGAGAGTCCAAAGGCTACCCTTTTGTTAGATGTAAAACTATAAAAGTGCTTAGGATTCCACTGGAAAGTCCAATATGAAGAAAGCGCAGAGCACTTGAGGTCCCTTTCTGAGAAGAAAAAAAGGGATTTTTGTCTGATTTTTCTGTGGGCTCAAATGCCCAGGGCAGCATCTTGCATGCAGGAGGTGCTTAATTAAATACGATGCATGTCTAAGGTGGCAGCATGCATTTTCTATACGCCCTGGTCAGGGTGTATAAAAGACCCTTAATAAACACAGGACAGCGGGGTTTAGCTCAGCTGCACAAGTGCCTGCCTAGCATGCACGAGATTGTGAGTTTGATCCCTGGGACCAAAAATAAACAAATAAATACATGTTGGGACTACACCGTTAAACCCTAGTTTGTCACAAGTGTTTGTCATGCACCAGGGTCAACATCATGGCCACATAGTTCTATTTTATCAGTAGTTCATGTTGTCATCATTCTCTTTCTTTTAAAAATTATCTAATCATGAATTTAATTTTCCCCTCACAGCATAGGTTTGTGACAGCTTAAAAGTGCAGGGCAAAATGAAATGTTTTTAGCTGGAGTTAAAAAAAAAATATCTAAAATGGGTTTGGATACATTGAGTGGAACGAAAAGAAGAAATGGTTTATTAACAGGCTGGAAGAAGCCAGCGCGGGAGGTGTAGGTGTGTGGGGCGTGGTGGATGGTTCCGGGAAAGAACCTTAGGTTTCCACACCGCATTTGCCCCTGACCCCCAGGGCTGAGCCTGCACTCCCGGAGGAGGGAAGCGCAGCCAGACCCTCCCCGGGCCAGGAAGGGAGGCCGAGCCCAGCAGAGGAGTCTCCACGCCTGTGGGAGTGGGAGGCAGTCCAGCACTGAGACCCCAGCCTGCCCGGTAAAGGGACAGAAGTGGGGAGCCGCCTCCTGCCTCGGGAGACTAGGAGCAGGGAATGAAGGCGGATATAGGGAAGTCAGGGAAACCGAAATAAATGCCAGATTAGATTACAGAGTGCCCTAGCGAATACAATCAAGAGATTGGTTTTCTATCCATGTCAGTCATTTTTGACACTTTTAAAGCAATAGAATATTTTTCTTTTCTTATTCTTTAAAAAAATTGGTTATACAGAGTAACGAGCACCATTTTGGTAGATCCACACGTGCATGTTAGACATTTTGATCCTTTCATCCGTCTGCCTCCCTTTCCCCCTCTCCTCTAGTTCCACGCTTTGGGGTACAGTGGGGTACGGTGGGGGGTCAGTGCCTATGCCGACCCTTTTAAAACTCAATCTTATGAGACACCAATATGCAAAACGCATGCCAACGAGGAGGTCTCCCCGATGGAAGCGGCCACAGTCCCTGTCGCACTCTGAAAAGCCAGAGATTGCGCGGGTGCAGACGCGGGCCGGGCAGGTGCCGGGCCAGGCAGAGGCCTGAGTGCCAGGCTCTGGGAAGGAGTGGGCGACAGGGGAGCGATGACAGGCAGCCACCCGCAGCGTGGACATCCTCGGGGAAGGGCAGGGAGGCGCTGGCGCTCTGAGGAAGGACGTTGCAGCCGCAGGCCTTCTGCAGGCCCCGCTGACCGCGCACCCCGCCCCCACCCGCCTTCCTTCCCTTTTTCCTGCAGATGCAACAGACGTCACTGCCCCAGCCACCAACTTCCCCTTCTTTTCAGAAAAGTTTAAAGGCTGAAGGTGTCACCTGCAGGCCCGGCGACTCGGTCCTCGGTGCCCCACTCTGGCAGGGAAAAGGGACCCCCGGGCCTCGTTCTAACAGCAGTTCTGTACTTGAGACCGCTTGGCAACTCAGTACATAAGCACTCATCCCCTACGCCCCTTCCCCGCCCGGCACTGGGTGGAACGCAACTGCTCCAAACGCAACAAACTCTATGTGAGGCGAAAGACTCGCCGTGTTTTATAAAAATCGTGAGAGTCAGCTTTGCTGCATGTGGGTGTCCGATCCGCGGCCACAATTCCAGACGTCTGCCTGTGTTTTTTTGTTTTTATTTTTTGTTTGTTTGTTCTTGTCTATTTGAGACAGGGTCTCCCTATGCAGTTCAGGCCGGCCTTGAGCTCACTTTGCAGCCCCGGCTGGTCTTCAGCTTGCAGCGATCCTCCTGCCTCAGCCTCCCGAGTGCCGGATTGCAGACGTGCGCCACCACGCCAGGCCCGCGGGTTTTGTTCTTTGGGGACACAGCTTTGCCCGCAGCCCGGGCTGGCTTCGAACTCGCCGCGGCGCAGCGCCCCCGCCCGCGTTGTGGGGATCTCGGCCCGCGCCCCCTCGTGTCGCCGTCTGCGCGGGTCCCTCCGCCCGCCGGGGCGCGCGCCCCGCCCTTCCCGGGGACGCCGCGCCTGCCTCGGCCTCGCTATAAAGCGCGCGCCCCGGCGGGCGGCCGCAGAGATGCGGCTCCCCCTATGGTGCTGCTTGGGCGCCGCGCTGCTGGCCGGCCCGGGGTGGGCGCAGGCGGCGGCGGCGGCCGGGAACGCGAGCCGGGAGCAGGGCGATGGCGGCGCTGGCCCCGCGTGCGCCGCGCGGCTGGAGCTGGAGCCGGGGCCGGGCGGGAGCTGCGGCCGGGGCCGGGCGGGCGGCGAGGAGTGCGCGCTGCAGGTGCGCCTGCCCCCGCTCACCATCCCGCTGCCCGCGGCGCTCGGCAGGCTGGAGGAGGTGATCAAGGAGATGCAGACCCTCAAGGACGCCGTGGCCAGCCTGCAGAAGTCCTGCCAGGACTGCAGGCTGCAGGCCGACGAGCACGGAGAGCCCCCGCTGCCCCCCAGCCCCGGACCCCCGGGGCCGGACCAGGGCCTCCGCGTGCAGGACCTGGAGAGCCAGCTGCAGAAGCTGTCGTCGGAGCTGAAGGGCGCCCGGGAGGAGATCGGCGGGCTGCAGCAGCGGCTGGAGAAGCTGAGCCTCGTAAACATGAACAACATCGAGAACTACGTTGACAGCAAGGTGGCCAACCTGACGTCCGTGGTCAACAGTTTGGACGGGAAGTGCTCCCAGTGCCCCAGCCAAGAACAGACGCAGTCCAGGCCCGGTGAGTGCAACAATGTTTCCTGATCGTTTGTTCAGGACGGTATCTGTAAACATTAACCTGAGCCAGCAAGTTAAACAGACGATGGGTTAAGTAAATAAGCCTCATGTGGGTTCAAGGTGTCCAAGAAAAACAACCGCCTTCTCAGAAGTGACCTCAGAAATGTTGCAGGACCTAATTACAGAAATCCTTAGCTCTGGCGCTATTAGGAAGCTCTTTCCATTTCAAGATCTTCCTGGCTAACAACACCAGACCTACACACAAGGAGATGCAGAGAGAGAGAATTTTATGCTTTAGTGCTTTTCCAGAGTACTTTATCGCTTCGCCTAAGTGTTTAAAAACGAGCGATAAGGCAGTGTTTGCAGTGGCGCTTTGTTAGAAATCAGCTTTTCTTGCAGTTGGCCGATTGCCCCGTCTCATGTAGCAGCGAGTGGTCTTTGCGAGATTTGACCCAGTCACCTGCTAAATAATCGTAATCTTCACTCTCTGGTGAAGGCAGGGATTTGTAAAGTTGGAATAAAAGCTGCTTCACATGTAGGTAAAACCTTTTGCCTTGAGACTTAATGGCTCAAAAGTGTTACAAGGGGAGAATTCTGGCATGGCACTGAGGAACATTCTCAGCTCTTTCTTTACCGTAGCTAGCATTCAGATAGGTAAAAGTGCAACTCAGATTAATTTTAATAGAGACACAGACCTCAGTGCCTTCTCTGCTCACGTGCTGCAGGGCACTGGCTCCCCCAAGCCACGCCCTTCCATCTGGATTCCTGGAACCACTGCTGTTACCCTTGGGAGACCCACTTGGGTCTTAGGACTTCAACTTCCCAAAGGGCGGCTGAGGGACATGGCAGAGGTCACTTGCTGGAATGTTACTCCCTGGGCGTGCCCATCCCCGGGGAACCTGCTGGTGACAGGAAGTCACGTTGTCAGGGACCAGTCCTGCTCATGTTCCTGGCAGCCTGTAGCTGGTGTCCCCTGCATGTTGCTAGGCAGGTTCACAGCTAAGGTGATGCTGCAGGGCAGGTGGTACCGAGGTGCATGATATTCTGTTGTGCATGTTTCTCCTGAAAGTCTGGAAGACAGGGAATCTGTGTTTTAAATACACACGAACAGATTTTCACACCTTAGCATAATCTTCTGCTAAACTTATCTGTCATGAATATGTTTATAAAAATCATCTGGCAGTACGTATGCCTTTGATTTCTACAAAACTCTGGTAACTGACAACAATTATCCTGAACATTAATTCTTGTTTCCTTTAGAACCAAACATGTAGACTACTGGCTGATTATTCCTTCCTAGATAATAAATGTAGAATAATATTGGTATACTGTTGAAAAAAAAGACTTTTTTCTCTTGTGTTTCTTTACATAGCTATCAAGCAAAATAAATGCGAATCTATGGTTAATGCTATACTGTAAATTTGGAGTGTATTCTATGAAGTCTCCCCCCCCCCCCGCCATGTGGAAGCCATCAGCCACCTCAGATTAGGGGAATCAGAAGCAGGGCTTCCTCTGTGCGTCTGCACTGGAGGCCCAGAAGGGTGACAGTCGTCAGAATTTTAGGACCGAGGAATGCAGTGATTGTGGGATCTGAGTTCCTGTCCTAGCTCAGTGCTTTTGTGAACTTGGGCTGAGCCTGTTTGGACCTAAATATCCTCATCAGTAAACTGGCAAAACACCTGCACCCTAAGACAGCGGTGAAATCACTCTCTGCTCCTTGGCAGGGTGCCGAGCACAGATAGGATCCTCCTTAGATGTCCCTGTGCTTGACGTCGTCACCATTGTTGCAACCCAGGGTACAGTAGAGGGCCCTGTGCACGCCCTAACACCAGCCCCTGTCCCCAGGCTTCCTCGAGCTTTTCCTGACTGGACTCTGGCAGGTGGGGCAGAGCAGGTTCCCACAGGGCCCCTGGCTAGCCATGCAGACTGCCTTTGAGCACACAGAGAATTCTCCAGGCGCCTTCCTTTCTCGGTCATCGCCTAATGTCTTTCTTTTCCTCTCCCTTCAGTTCAACATCTGATATACAAAGATTGTTCTGACTACTACGTGATAGGCAGACGAAGCAGCGAGACCTACAGAGTCACCCCTGACCCCAGGAACAGCAGCTTCGAGGTGCTGTGCGACATGGAGACGCTGGGCGGGGGCTGGACGGTGCTGCAGGCCCGGCTGGATGGCAGCACCAACTTCTCCAGAGGCTGGCGTGACTACAAGGCTGGCTTCGGCAACCTGCGCCGCGAGTTCTGGCTGGGCAACGACAGGATCCACCTGCTGACCAAGAGCAAGGAGATGGTCCTGCGGGTGGACCTGGAGGACTTTGAGGGCATCAGGCTCTATGCCGAGTACGACCACTTCTACGTGGCTAACGAGTTCCTCAAGTACCGGCTGCACTTGGGGAACTACAACGGCACAGCCGGGGATGCCCTGCGCTTCAGCAAGCACTACAACCACGACCTGAGGTTCTTCACCACCCCGGACAGGGACAACGACCGCTACCCCTCCGGCAACTGTGGCCGCTACTACAGTTCGGGCTGGTGGTTCGACGCCTGTCTTTCGGCAAACTTAAATGGCAAATACTACCACCAGAAGTACAAGGGGGTCCGCAACGGCATTTTCTGGGGCACCTGGCCTGGGATGAGTGACGCGCAACCCAACAGCTACCGGTCCTCCTTCAAAAGGGTCACGATGATGATCAGACCCAGGCACTTCAGGCCGTGACTGCTGGGCCACCTCTCCAGGCCGCGGTAGCTGATCGTGCAAGTCGTGCCCTCAGCCCCAGCCCGTCGGGGTTCTGCTTATTCCTGCTCCTGTTCCAGCCAGCAGGTGCGCTCCCAGCATAGGTGCTAATGCTACTAGTGTTTGCAACAAAGCCGAAAACAGGCATTTTAGAGACTCCCTCGTTGCTGTTAACCAAGGGATGCATGTCAGCATTGGAAATGTTAGATTCTGTTTAAAAGTCTTTTAAGTTCTATTAGTTAGAATCGCTTCGTTGTTTGTATTATGTTCTGTTATAAAAAGTGTTTTTATTCAGCAAGCTAGATTCTGCAGAAAGCACGCTCCATTCGGGCTATGGCTGAACCTGCGGATTTGAAAATCTGTCACTCTTTTCAGGCTAGAAATGTTTATTTGTGTATTTGTCTCTTGACTCTGCAACTTTTATTCTGAGATAAGCTCACTCATTTTATGGCATTTATTTTGGGCCAGGAAGACTTTGCAGTGTCTTAATTTCCAAGTAAAGGAAATCATGTATGTAATTAAACCTGTTCATGTAACACTCATGACTTTAAAATACGGCCTTTTCTTGCCATTTGCATTTGGCACATGTTTAATACTGTAAAATGCGGTAGCAGTTTCATCAAGAAAACATGCAGCAATAACATAACTTTGAAAACCTTGGTTTAAAGTACTTCATTTCTGGCCTGTAACTTGTTAGTCTCCTAAGGGTAAAAACCACTCTAACATAATGATTACCTTTCTCAGTTCAGTTTCTACAGTAGTTCTTTTAATTTGAGATTGCTCCTACTGTGCTAGACTACTGGTTGCTTTTCTTTTGGGGATAAAATGGGCAGGGAAAGATCTATTTATACTTTGAAGGCCAATTTTATATGCAGTGTCTTAGTATCACTGTGCCTGAGTATCTTAGTGCCTGAGTGATACTTGATAGAAGCCAACTTTTATAGAATGAATAAGTATATTTATTAAAAACATTTGAACTATATAAAATAGTAGCTGATATTACATATTTCAACTTAACAAATGCACTTCTTATTTTGCTATCAGAAATTCAAAGACATGTATTTTTTTAACCAAATGAAAATACCTGGATCTAAGTGTTTAAAGTAACCCTCTATGAGCTAAGTATTGTACTGAAATGATTATTAAAATGCATTTAATCATCATGAGAAGTATTGTTTTAGAAAGAACAGCAGTATTCTGTACATTTTAAAAACCCTATCAATTTGAAAATTTGAAGTATCATACTGTATGTAAGTCGTAGCAACAAGTTTGACCTTTAACTTCTAGTGTATTTTAAATAACAAATTTGCAAAATGTATTGACAAAGATGCAACTTTGCCTGTTCTTTGAAAATAATTAAGGGGCTGGGCATGGTGGTGTAAACCTGTAATCCCAGCTCTGGAGAGGCTGAGGCGGGATGATTCCTTAGTGGTAGAGGCCAGCCTGGACTACATGGTGAAACCCTGTCTCAAAAAACAAACGCATTTTTTTTTAAAAAAAGAAACTGATTAAGGATGACAGTAGTTTTAGGTAATAAGTTAGTTGTTCAAATATTTAACCCTTTAGAAAATCTTTTTTTAAAAAAGCAAACAAGATATTCTCTCAAAAATATTTAACACAAGGTTTTCAGGAAAGTATTATACAAAATAAGTAATTAGAAATATTATTAAAATATTAGAGTAAGTGCAAATAGAATTAAATGATGGTCAAAATGTAAAATACAAATTTCAAGGCTATGTATCTACTAGTGGTACTAAATGTAAAGGATATAACCAATTTTATTTTTTTCTTTTATTCACTTTTTTAAAAAGATGTAAGAAGATTTGAATACATTTTGATGTTACACAATGTATTGTGTCAGATAAAGGCATTTATGTGCTAAGTGTAATTACTAATACATGTATAAGTTAAGTAAATTTCTGTCAGATATAAAAAATGTACTTATCTCAAGATACAGTTCTAACGAAACTTATGCTTATTGAAAGAGTGCCCACTGATTTTAATGGGAATTAGTCATCATTTCAGGGAAATCTGGCAAATAATCATGAATCCACATGAATGCTCTATCTCTGCACATTTTTTCAAAGGATCAAGACTTTATTTTCTACCATTTTTTATGACACTTTCCTAACAAATTCCTTAACACAGAAATTTCTTTTTGGGATAATTTCTGTCATTGATTGTACAATCTATTCTAGACTGTGACAATCTTTAACGTGTTAATAGTAGGCTGTATCTGAAGACCCCTTTGCCTTAATATAACTATTTACTAATAAATGATAATGTTCATAAATGTGGGCTCTTTCAAATATACTTCTTAAGAGTCTTGTCGTGGTTTCATTTGTTTATCTTAATTAAAACTTTAAAAGGTCATTTTTTGAAAATGTTGCCTGAAACTGTGCCTTAGAAATTCAAAGTACAATTGGCTCACGTATCACTGAGAAGGAAGACAATCAAACTTTATTTGAAGTAGTTATGCTCCCAAGGGATTATTGGCACGTGTATCAATTTTCTTTATTTTTTTTTTTTCTTTTGGTACTGGGGAATTGAAGCCAGGGTCTGTACACAGAGTTCCACCTCCAGCCCTTTTAAATTCCTCTTTTTGAGACAGTTCTCACTAAATTGCTCACACTGGTCTTGGACTTACAATCCTTCTGCTTTAGGGTCCCAGAATGCTGGGATTCCTGGCATTATTTTTGACTTGCTACCCAAAAGAAGGTTTTCAAGGTAAAAGGGATAAACTCTTAATTAAGTTTCCTTTTATATGTACTTAGGGTTATGTTTCATGTTTTTTTTTACACAAACATAAAAGATTTAATCTTCATGTCTTTTCTTCAATGTGGGAACACTGTTTGTAGAATACTATTGACCCCTTTGCTCTTGTCTGAAAAGGGGTACAGTGTTTACCTGCCCTTTGGAGATGTATCAGTACGGTTGCATTCATTGGCAGTAAGGGAAAAATAGAGGAACACCAGTGTCTTACTTCCCCCTAGAATGTGTTGACACACTTGCAGTATGAAGTGTGCAGTTTCATTTCGTGTCATTCAGCTCCGTCCGCCCTTTTCCCACTGCTCTGTTGCTGATCTGGTCTGGCCCTCATCGTCCCCTTCCCAAGGCAGCTTGGACCTCCACTCACAGCCCGGTCTAGTTCATCCTCCGTGTCACCCAGGGAACTGTCACGGAATACGGTTCTGCCCTGCACAGAACGTTCAGCAGCTCCTCACTTCCTGTGAGAGAAATTCCAGCGTGCAACCCCTTCAGGGATGGATTCTGCCTGACCACCGGGGCCAGTTTCTGCCATCAGTCACTGGCACATGGGATGCCTTGTGAGGGGACAGATCATGTTCTCTCACGCATTCACTGCTCTGCAGAGACGGTCCCCGGGTCTGGACACAATGCCATCCTCGCCACCCCTGGGTCTCGCCAGACTTCCATCTTTGCATTTAGGTGCCACCATTTGCAAGCTGTGTGGTTTCGCCTGGTCACTTAAACTCAGGGTTTGTCATTATGGGGTAATAGTATCTGCTGGTAGACACGTTTTCTGTTAGGCTCCCTGCACCCCACTCCTCCAAACCCACAGACCTGTAGTCAGGGCATGTCCGGATATCAAGTAGAAAGTCAATTAGAGGGAAGTCTGGAAGGCCTTGCTAATTTTCATCAGCAGAAAGCTAGGGAAGACCGATAGAACGATTTTGAGGTTGCTTGACTAAGGAAGAAGAAATAACTTTAGTCATCACCAAATTTATTACAACAGTTATATTTATGAGAATGCAGATCTGTTTGGTTCTGCTCATTTGCTTGTTTAAACCCAAACCTAGATGCAATAGCAGCTCATGTTAACTAATGTCAAAAAGTCAGAAATGTCTTAAAATTCAGAGGCTTTTGGAGACAGAAGATCCAGGGTAGAGCCTGCCTTAATTCTTCCAATGAATATTTAGAGTATACACCATGTGCAGAAGTCTGGAGATGTATCAGTGATCAGTAAGACAAAATCCACACGTTTACATGTTACCAACTGCATATGTGGTCAATGCTGTTAAACATGAAGCAGGACTTTATCTCCACAGAGATAAAGGGGCAGCGTGAGCCAGGTGCTATCTGAGAGGAGCGTGTTCCAAGCCAAGGGAGAATGGGAGTGAAGATCTGGAACCCGCACGTGGTTGGCATGCTCTACTGCTGGCAAAAGCTGACAGTCTGGGCTGGTGGGGTGTAGGAGATAAGATCAGAGAGATTGGGGGAGCTGTGGATGTGCAGGCATGGGGTGGGATTCTGCAGGCCTTGTAAGCCACGGAAAGGATTCTGCCTGTACTCTGGGTAGATCAGAGCCATGAGGGGTTTGAGCCGAGTAGGGAGAGATTCCACAAAGTTTTAAAAGTTGCACTTGTTGCTGAATGAAAGCAATGACTGGATCAAGGACTCTGATTGATGTGCTTACATTGATCTTGGTGACAGAGGACTGAACCCCAATAGTTGCAGTAAAATGCAGCATTCTGAAGGCAGACTGACAAAATCTGCTGATCGAGGCTCGGCCGTGGACAGTATCAACATTAGGAGCATCATGGACAATCACAGGATTTCAGCCTGAGCGAAGACAGGGCTGCCACCAACTGCCGAGAGGGAGTCCACTCAGGGAGTCTGTCTCACAGGTTTGTAAGGCGCGGAGTGGAGGAGAGGGGAATCAAAGGTCGTGAATGTTCTAGACATCTGAGTGGACATTAAAGTTCAGTAAGAACATCAAGATCCAGAAACACATTTGGGAGCTGCTGCAGTACAGAGAGTAAGCAACCCATGCGCCCCAGGAGCCCCGGGACCAGCCGGTGTGCACAGCCTCCGACCAAAGGAGCAGCACTCCTGTACCGACCCAAAGTAGGTGTCTCTGCGTGCGCGCCTGCAGAGGGCAGGCCGCCATTCCCACCGGAACTTGCTTTCCTTGTGGAATGTTTGCTTTGCTTTGCTTCTGCCAGCAACACTTTTTGTTGTTGTTGTTGTTGTTGAGTTGCTGGAAATCTCAGAAATCATGGTATTAGCTTCATTCTTTTGTTGACTCGCTGAGATAGCTTTAAAAACTACTATACTATTCCACGAGGTATTCTGTAAAATGCTGCTCCTGACCTAGGAAGCCGTGTCCCAGTTGTGTGACTCACTGCAGCCTGGATAGTGGCCCTCTGGGAGACACCACCCGGACGCTGAGGTCTTGCCATACAGACCTGTGCGTGTATTTACACGTGTGTACTCACAAATGCACACAGCAAAAGAAAAGTGAACTGGGCCATAGAGCCAAAGGCATTCTAAGTTTTAATAGCATACTGTCCAGTTTGAAGAACAATATATGGATATTTAATTAACTACAATCATAAGTTAGTCGTTGCTATGATTTTGAACTTTTAGTTATGCACAGGTTGGTTTTATTCTTATGTTCATTATTTTAGATACTGTAATAGTTGATATCTTGTGTCAGTTTGAAACTCTTGAACCTGTAGGTTGTCCAGGACATATCCTGGGGCTGTTGTTTGTGTTCCAAGATGTTGTAATGGTTGATTCATAGTATCAACTTGAGAAGTTTATATAAGTTTAACTAAGTGACTCAGTAAGGGGCCAGGGTCCTCACTTGGTAACCATCCTGAGCCTGTGGAACAAAAGGGCGTGGAGCTAGTGTGCTACACTTGTCCCAAGTCTGGTAGCCTGCTTACAACAGGAGGGAGAAAGGCTTGCTCGCTTTTTGTGCTCTTGCTGTCTCCTGTCTCCATGAACTGCTCTCCCCTCCCACGTGCCACCCTGCTCTGGAGCCAGGACTGACTATGAACTGAAACTCCACAAACTGTGAGCTAAACAAACCTTTCCTTCTTTAACTTTGGATGTGTGGTATTTTGTTCCAGCAATAAAAGAAAAGTAACTAAGACAGATACATTAATGGTTTTCAACTTCACTTCTTTCACAGATGTTTTCCAAAAGTCATCCAAATTAAAGACAACCTAAATCTTTTTTCCCTAATAGTTTTCAAAGTATCAGCACTAGAATATCCATTAAAGTTCCAGTTTCAAGTAGAAATAATTGTTACTCTTTGCATCTGGCTAGGTTTCCCTTTTTGATGGGTGGATATGGACATTAAGATACAAATACACACACATGCTTTTGACTGTGACTTGTTACACACATATTTATGCATGTTACATAACACATATGCTATAACATGTAAGGAAACTTGCTTATATAAATGAAATAGATAAGTAACTCCTCTAGGCAGGCAAAAGTCACGCAAGAATCATGAACCTAAACCAACATTAAAGTCATGCTCTAACTAACTGATGGGTGACACCTTTGCAAACATAACAGCTCTCAAAAAGATCTGTATTATTTTATTAGCAAGTTAGAGAGGAAATCTACACTATACTCTTTAGAAAATAAAAAAATCACATGTAAAAATAAATATGTAAGCCTTCCTTCTCTTAGTCCTTTAATTGGTATTAATTTGTGATTTTGTTTTTTTGACACAGGGTCTCATTAGGTAGTTTCGGCGTTAGGAACATTGAACCCGTGGCAATCTTCCTGCCTCAGTCCCCCACTGCTGAGATTCTAGGTGTGTGCCACCATGCCGGGCATGTGTTTATCATTTGAATCCCGCAAGTATTTACCGTTTGCCAACTCTGAGCACAGATAGCATGTTGCTATATGCTTAAAGTTTTCCACGTGTCTTTTTTCAAAATAATTCTCTAAATGCAAATCTGACTTTAATGTTCAGCATTGGCTCCTCTATTACCGAAGGCGTTGTGGGAAGTACAGCCTATGTAGGAACACTGCGTAAGAAAACTTATTCAGATTTTTTTTCTCTGAAAAAATATTCTCATTTTCTCCAAGATCAGAGTAATTTATCCTTATGTTATAGAAGTTTATCAAAGACGGGTCCACAAAATGAATGGCCTGCATTTATTTCCCATGCAGTAGTGGAAGCTGTTCCTAAAGGGTCTGACCTGTTTTAATGTCGAGTTAGGTCCTGCTTCTCCACACTAAGAATGTGGAGCCGCTGCTTACCTGAGTGCCAGCCCTGCCCCACGCGCTGCAGAAGGATCCCCAGACTCCTGGCTCACCGCAGTCAATGCTGTGCAGGGAGGTGATACTTTGCGCTCACTGCTCGTCTCCCCTGAGGGGAAGACGAAAGCCTCGGTGGCTACAGTGGTCCACTATTTGGTTCATCACTTGCTTTCAGCTGTCTTGGGCCTGGTGCTTCTCATGAAATGCGCTAACTTCCCACGGACCACGTGCACACATAGGAAACCTCCTCGAACTCTCCGGGTG